TACGTATTTTGTAAATGCATACAGTACTGAATCGATCGTTCACATCCATGTTCTTCATACAAAACTTTGATACTATCTCTGTGTTCTTCGTTGCCGACGAAAGTGTTTTATTTAAAACTTTTTATTACAATCTTGTATTTCTGTACATCATTAGTAGTAATCGTCATACCACGAAACACTTCTCGAATGTATGATAATGTGCCAAATTGTGACTGATGAGCAATTATTCCAATATAGTACGTTCGACTAAGATTCTCTTTAGTAGTTAGGTTTTCAAGCTGCACGTGCGTTAGATGAAGATTTAACGCAGAATAAAAATCTGCGTCAGCTGTATACGCTGTTAACAAATAAGCGGGATCTTTTTCATTGATTGCTTTATCGAAATATTTTCTTATTTTATTGATGCCATCTACATCTTTTAATTCTTTTTCAAGGTAATTTTGTCTTATATAAGCAATCAGTTTATAAAACTACGTGTCTTCACCATATGGTTCTAGTTTTTTAGAATATTGGTGTGCTTTGTAATCGACATCACTCGTTTCAAGAATCCACTCTACAGAGTTGCTGAAAAAACGCTTCTGATGCATGCGACGGCGCATTATCTTTTTAATTGTGTCGGTGTTGGCTTCATCAAGCGAAATACAATTATATTTATTTAATGTTGAATAACTAGTCCCTTTCTCAAGTAACAGTTCAACAATTCTCCAATGTCTCCGATATGCAGCTACGTGGAGTGCAGTAGAGCGATTTGGTTCGATTCGATTGATTTCTTCCATTGATAAGGTCTCCCAATAATGTTCAACGAAACTGATGTCATTTGCTCGGCATCTATCATGAAAAGGACTGGTTCTTGACTGGTCAGATGATGAACCTATCAAGAAGCAGAGTTTTTTACAGTTATTTTTGGAACAATAAGTCTTTTTGTAAATTTGAGATATTGAAAAACATCAACGTCTTCTGTAAATTTTTAAATCAGATATTTCGTTAAAAAGCAAGTACCGATCTGATAAAATTCACACCTATCTATCCATTCATTTAGAATGTTATCGGTATTTTCCAAACTTCTAGACGATATTCATTTCTTTCGTATCGTTTCCACGCTGCTTTCAGTCATTATGTCGATTGATTGCACATAATGCAATAACCAAGGTATTGTTTTCCAGTTTATTGATTGCTTCGGTGATTTCTTGTTTCGACTCTTTTGTTTTCTTCTCGGTCCATGAGGAACATTTGGAGGCAGTCATTCTTTCTCCTCATCTGAACGTCTCCTTATCTAAGGCAAAACTTTGCTGAGATCATGATAGTGAGACAAATGAATATTTGAGATCTGGTTTTTTTTGAATTCGCTTTATTTTAGGAGCTATAAAAACGTGGGTAGGTGTATGAGAGATCAATATAAACACCCACAACCTCCAATTATGATGATCACTGTACATAAGATCGACCAAGTAGACATCAACATCACTACTCAAGAAGAAGATGAGCAAGATTCAAATAATTATTCGTCAGGTAAAACATTTAATGAAGAATATTCGCTACGAATATGCTCATAGGATGAGTTGCTTGAGATGTTCACAGGTTCAACTAACCTAAAAAATAATTTTAAGTCTGTTTTAAATGAATAAGCTTTAGAAAACTGTATCACCCAAGAGAAAAAAAGATAGAAACGTTCATAAAAAAGATGACATTTTCTCTAAGAAGCGATCTATGAAGCGCGTTCAGGTAAATGGGGGAGGGAGGGGTTACTGAAAACTGGACACACCTGGTCAAAGAGGAGAGGAACCCAGCTTCGCACTAAAATAAAATGCGTCGCACTTATGTGTTGTGAATTATAGTGTCGCAGACTCAATGACGAAAATGTGTCGTGACTAGGAAGCGCCGTATATAAGTTTTTTTTTTCGTTGTCTGCTGTCTATTCATTCATCATTCTGTTTTGGACAAACAGATATATATAGGGAACGTGATTAAACATATGAAAATTACATATTTTCATACTAAATGTTTTTTAGATTATTTCTCAACTATTTATTAGTCGAGAGCATGTGGATCTTGATCCATGATCGAGAAAGGACTACCCTGAAGTGGTCTGATGGAGATTGGAGCAGCTCGAAGCTGGACAGATCCCAAGGTCTGATCTGTTTGATTATCAGAATAGAAATTATAAAATGAAATTGAATCGAAAGATATGTAATAATTTGCTTTTAAGGAAGAAAAATTCATAATGCGCTGTACAGTAAGTTCGAATCATGTTTTCAAAATGTGTCGCCAAGTGCGACACATTTTATTTTAGTGTGTTTACTTGAACGTTCAGAAAGTTGCTAGAAGTATTTTCTTTTTTTTCCAACTTTCTGGAAAATTTTGAAACTTAGTTAATTTTAAATAGGATTTTTTTAAAATAAAATAGTTGAAGATAGATATGGTTTTGAAATGATTGTAAAATAATGGTATATTAACTGCTTTTCAGATATGAACTAAATTATATGTTCGAATATCATTAGTGTTGAAATTGTCTCTCTTTTATATTATTGCTAGTTTCTACTCATAAAAGTTGAATGAATTCAAATATGAATAAGCTTTTAACAGATTATATTTTACGAAATGTTTATTGATTCATTTCTATTCTTGATACAATTATATAGTAAAAAAGAAGTAATTAATGTGAGCCAATCTTATATTAACATGAATTCTATTTTAGCCTTGATCAATGTTAGATTTGAGATTGAACTAGTGACACAATTGCGGATATGGAAAAAAAATTTGCTGCAAATCCCACATCAGTTTCTAAGTTCTTGTCAGATGCATTTTTCTGTTGGTGATCTATCATCGGACAATTTTATTTCAACATAATTAGTCATCATTTGACGAGCTAAGCGCAGATTTCATGAGAGATGAGCAACTTTTTACAGAAACTCTTCTCCAGCATAAAAAGATTCGTCAATGCTCAGATTGCTTCTTGATTCACCTGTTGATGGTTCCATGGACTAAAACACCATTGCTGTTCTATAGTTCATCAATAGCAATCAAGAACTGCCATATGCTTGAAAACTTATTAGATATTGTGATAAATGCTTCCTTGATCTCAGATTGAAGTAGTTCAATGCCGAGTTAAGATTCGTATAAGCCTATCGAGGATCGACCTTCCCAAGCAGACAATAAAAATCATATGATGGGTGGGACGAGCGATCGAAAATGGTTACATCGGAGAGCCATCTTCGACTTCTCGAGGAGCTTTTGATCCGTCGATAGTTATCGAAGTTTCGAATACTAGAGTAAAACAAAGATATCGAAAGAGCCGTATTGAGCGTTCCAGTAGAAACAAGCAGAGTTTAAAAGCAGTTTCAAGTGGTTAAGTTAATTTTGAGTTTGTGAAATTTCTTTAAAACGAGATTGGCAAATGTCTCCTTCATTAGACTACCTTAGAAGAATAATCTATATTGCAGGAATTTTGTTCTTAATTTCATAACTTTCTAGAAAGTAATTGACATAAAGTAATGAAAAACCACAAGTAAGAACAAAATATAAAGTGATGTTAAAGAAAACAAATCTTAACGAATATTGCTGTGAGTCTTTGAAAAAAATTATCAAAATTTATTTGACACCTTATCCCGAAACTCAATTATTTATCAAACGCCATATTTACAAATTATATTCCCTATACGGTATCTGAAACTCGCGAAAAAAACAATTCATTAGTTAGGCAGGTGAGAAATGTGTGTCTTTTTTTCGATTAAATTCTTTTTTACTACTTAGTAGTTTTTGAAAAATGTTATCAAATTTTAAAATGCAAACTGCTGTTAGACATGATGAATTTACATTTAGGAAAATTTATCAAATTCAAAACAGAAGCTGAAAAATTTAAATTCAACTTAAGTTCATTAAGATTGGGTATTTAAATTTACAGAAAAATGACATCCCTAAGTAGTATTCATTTAAGAAATGAAAAAATAATTTTCATAGAAGAAAAATAGTTAAAATTTAGCTTAGATATTGGTCGACTGTTTATCGCAATTATTCATGTTCTAATTTCTCCCTGCGCATTTATTGGATAGGTTTCGAAGACTCAACACTAAGACATTTATTAAAAAATTTCTTTATATTTTGATCTCTATCGGTTAGAATCGTTGGACTGGTGGAAAACTCTCTGTTTTACTGACCCGTCATCGAGCCTTCTATCTATCGGAACAACAATCCTTTCATTAATCTTAATGTTGAAATATAGATTTATCTAACGATTGAAGTTATCACTTACTTTAAATACGACTCTTAAGTTTCTCACTATAAAAAGCATCGACAACAATCGACTAACTACAGAATATTTATTGTATTACTACCATGCGATCGTGTATTGTGAATGTCACTTGAGAACTCAACAACTTAATATTTGAGTCAGAAAGAAAAAATATCTAATAACATGTTACATAGAAATACAATAATTAAAGTAAAGTAAAGATAGTTAGAGCAAATAAGATTAGATTTCGATTTTCGATAAAATGAAAAGAAAAAAAAAACAGATGCGCTGAAAAAACAATCTGATCCAAAGAACTGATTACTATAAATTTTCTTGGCATAGCTGTTTTTTCAAGTATCGACAAGAAGCATTTACAGGGTATTTCAAAAGAGTGTGAGTGCGAATGCAAGCTATCCTTGCATTCATACTCACATGTTATCTATGATTCATTATTTTCTGATCGAGATTAGCAGATTTTGTCTAGATTGTTTAATAGATTAGACAGTTGCACGTTGAAAAGCTTCCATTGATAATTTTCGAACTAAAAAATGGTGCACAATAACCAAGTCCTCAGAATAGTAGAGTCAGATTGGAACTATTTCCTGATATATAGCGTTCCGATTCGTGCTTATATTCGATCATTTTAACCAAATGCAAATTGCTCAGACAAGTTGATCATTTTTAGGCTTCATTAAAGTATTTATGTCAAGAGATACCTAAATATTACATGAAAAGAATTAAAACTTTAACTTTTCGTTATTGAAATTAAATCTTAGATTTGTGAATATCCTCCATCGACAAAAAGTTCAACGCCAGTCACAAAGCTGCTATCATCGGATGCGAGAAATACAACAACTTTGGCGATTTCATCAGGTGTGCCAATTCGATTCATCGGTGTCGCTGCTTGCCAAGTAGCATAATTCGCTTCAACTTCTTTTTCAGTAGCACCAATACTTCTCAATAGAGGGGTATCAATTGCACCGGGACTCAACGTATTCACTCGAATATTGCGCTTTTTCAGATCAAGAATCCAACAACGGGCAAAAGCACGAATAGCAGCCTTTGTTGCGCAATACACACTCATCGCTGGATCTGCTTTGATCGAAGAATTCGATCCATTGAGAATAATCGAGGCACCATCAACTAAAAGAGGCAACGCTTTTTGAACTGTGAATAGAAGACCTTTGACATTAACGTTGAATGTATCGTCGAAATGTTTTTCCGTAATTTCGCCGAACATGGCTAATGTGCAACTTGCTGCATTAGCGAAAATAATATCCAAGCGACCCTTTTCTTGTTTAATGATGTCGATTAATTTGTCCAAATCGGTCATATTCGAGACATCGCCTTGTACAGCGGTAATATTGACTGCACCGATTTTCTTCACAGCTTCATCGAGTTTTTCTTGTCGTCGTCCAGTGATAAAAACATGTTCGGCACCTTCGATAATGAAACGCAGAGCCGTTGCAAAACCAATGCCTTCAGAACCACCAGTGATCAGAGCTACTTTACCATCCAATTTCCCCATCGCTTTCTGTCGGATTATGGGCACCTTCAAAAGGTAATTGAAGTATGATTAGTGTTTTTTTTCTCCTTCTTCGTTCTGTTGAAGGTCGAAGAACAGGTGCGCAAACTTGATTGACAAAAAAAAATCGTTCTCTCCTCCTTATTATGTTTTTGTGTCGTAGTCTCAGCTTCACTAGAATGTAATGCACAATTTCTCAGGCTTCTGCAAATTTACAATTATTGAATAAAATATTCTTCTGAAAAATGAAACTGATTTTTTTTTGAAAAACTTTAGCAGACTTTGATCCACTGCCAGACAAACTATCAGTTTCAATATTATCTTTAAAATACATTATAGATGACACTTTTTTGAATATAACTCAAGAAATGCTGCTTCATTCGAGAACATCATGGGATGCTCTATCGCTTTTGAACTCTTCTTAAACTCATTGATAAACATTCATGAGATTAGAAGAATCTTATGAGGACTTTTGCCGTTATATCCTTGTGTCCTGAGATCAAGGCCGCCATGAAGACACCAGCACAGACAGAGATGGAAAACTTACCCATGTCGCAAAAACTGGATTGATAAAACCCCGGTAAACCGGCGTGGGCGTGAGTGCGATTGAAGAGAAGACCAGCACACACATCCATACCTACACCCACACGTAGAGTCCGTCGAGTTCAAAAATATCTAGGTCTGAGCCTGGACCCAGTGAAAACAAAACTGTTAGGCCCGGACCCGATCCATCAAATGTTTTGAACTCATACTAATGATTGTACTTAAGCTTTGAAATTACTCTGATGAAGATATTAAAGTGAAAGTAGCATAACTCAACTTTGATCTTTAAAATTAAAGTAAGCGTACTTTTAACTTTAACTTTAAAAATTTCATTCTTTCACAAACAAATATCATTTTCTCTCTTATAAATTTCGTTTTTATGAAGCAAAATAAGTTTTATACGAATACAAAGTTTTGTCAAAAAATCTGCTTTAATTTTAACTCTTTCAACATGAAATTCTAATTATGTTTCTTTTAACTTTAAAGTAAAGTTAAAGTGCTACCCCTAATCAACATCTGATTTATTAATCAATTATAAATCTAGATCGAAATGTACTCTTAAACTCTGAATCAAATTTTCTAATCGAATCTTATAGTCAATCCGAAGATATAACCAGAGATGGAATTGGTTTGAAAAAGTTAGACCGAACCGAATCGGCCGGTCTACCCATCTGACCAGTCCAGCAGTTACTGGCTGGTAACCGGCCCCGTTTCGATTTCTGGAAGAATGAATATATGCATTAAAGTATTTTTATAATTTTTCTAGTTAGACAACTATACCATTATCAATAACACTTGTTTTACTTTTCCCAGAATTATATGCATAAAAGTTTTCTTGCGGTCCGTACCCAATCAGTGTAAAAATTTTAGACCTGGACATGAATCCAGGCCCGGTAAAAACAATATTTTCGGACCCGAACCCGACGGCCTCTACCCACACCCACATGCTATCACACCTCACACTAGAGCCCGTCCGGTCCAACATTTTTGGACCCGGACCCGTACCGGAACTCGCTTTGTTGAAATTTTCATGGATCTGTATCTGGCCTTTAGAAAAGTTCGGAACCGGACCCGGTAAATAGAAAATTTTCAGAACCGAATCCGGACCTGATTAAATTAATTTTTTGGGCCCGGACCCGACGGGCTCTACCCCACACCCACACGCAACCACACCCAACATCCCACGTCCCATATCCACTCCCTCATTTACTGAAGCCAAAACCATTCATGATGATCGTTTCCTCGATTCCTGCGAAAGATTTGCGCATGATTGACTGCAACGAATGCCTATCCGTTGTCGCTATGAGAGCTCACCCGATGCTATTGATTTTGGAACCGAAGCTATCAAACGTTCGAAAAAATTGTATGAACGGTTTTTACATATGGCAATAAAATATCCACTGAAAGATAAGAATGAATTGTACCACCAATATATACGGTAACAGTTTTATCTTCAAAGAGAATAATGTTTTTGTACAAATGTATTTATACATATTCAGATAGGCATCATGTGACATGCACATATGCAGAAACCATTGAATTATGCAGCTGATTGTCTTCAGTTCGTTGGTTATATTATTTGTCATTCTCCGTGACTGATAATTGAGCACAAGAAAGTGAAATATCAACAGATCATCTATGTCAATACTGTTGAAGAAATATATCATTGGTGAATTTAGGACATTTAAAAAACAATTGCTTATGGTTTACATTTCTCTAATTAATCAATAGTAAACAAAATAAACTTGTGTCTTTAAAGTCTTTCTATAGCTGATAGTTGAGAGAGCATGGGTGGATGATTGGTGATCTTCTCTTCTCTCATTATCAGCTTATGTGTATCATTCATTAGACCGTTCTGTTCGATAAAATATTGGTATGTTGACTATTATTGAAATGCAATTCACTTTCAGATTTTACGAGGCATATTTCGTTTCTTGAGGCAATCAAAGCTTTAGTTTTCATATCTTGAGCAGAATATTTGATCAGCTCGAAGATTTACTATAGTTGAAATTTCTCTTCACAGCCTGACTAAATTATCGCTCGTTTGTCTTGGATTATTGTTACTGTTTCGAAATTCCAATAACATAATTCGTTTCATGAGTGACATTATTCGTATTTGTTTAATCAATGGCTGTGAGAGAGTTCTCAGTTTTCATAAAAATACAATTACGCACAGTGAACTGAATTCATCTTTCCCTTCAATGTTAGACGCGTCTTTGCAACAATCACACGCGAAAAGGTGCCTGGTTTTATTGTCTGATCACTGCATCATTAGCGGTATAAACTTTCTGAATCATACAAACTCTGTGTATTGTCCTTCAGTTTGATCTCAACGATTATGGGAATCTATTCAATAGTCAAGCATGATTATCTTTTAAAACATGTAATCAAAAAGAGAAATAGATGATATCTTGACTTTGACACAAAGAAGAAAATGAATTGTATTATGAACTTTCAGATGAAGTCATCGATAATTTCAAAAAAATCTGTGAGATTTCAATAAATGATCAAAACTTTTCGAACTAAGAGAGAGACAAATGGATTATTGACTTGAAGAAACGCTCGACCATTGATAAAAATGTTAGACATCTGGAAAAATACTAATCACATTTGTATTTGAAACGATTAATGTCAAATTGAATAATGAGGATAATGTGATTGTGAGTCTTCTACCGCCAACTCATGCATCCTTCGCCACCCCACATACTACATACGTAATCTGACTAGTAGACATTACCAAGTTTAAAATAGGCCCAATGGGGAACTCTCACCATAGGATATTTTCGAATTGAAAAGAGATTAGTGAGATCCATTTCTACTTGAACTCAAAATCGAGAAACTTATGGTATGATTATTATATGTACTTCAAAAGTGAGGAGAAACGATCAAGAGCGATTGGTATAGCATCTCTTTAATTTCTTATGTCAGAAGTCAGTTTCTTCTTGTACATCCCACATCAATTACATTTTGCACTTTATTTTTCACTCTCTTTCGACATTTTGATATTTTTCTCTTTCTACTCCCCAGTTTAGAAGCAATAAACACATGTATTCGATTACAAAATAGAACTACACATATAAAATAAAAGGCAATAAATCTCACTTGACTGGCAATATGGATGATAATCGATGCATCGGTATCATTGGCTGTGGCGACATGGGTTTTGCACTTGCCCATCGTTTACTCTTGTGCAAATTTACTGTAGTAATGGGTAGCCGTTGTCCAGTCAAACGAAACAGCACACAATTAGAAAAAGTCTCCATTGTCGAATGTATTCGTCGTTCGCCTATTATTTTCATTGCCATTCATCCGCAACACTACATCGATTCTCTTGTATCGCATCTTGAACTCGAACCATCATTGTTTGATGGAAAAATTCTTATTGATCTATCAAACCAATCTTGTCAAAAATCACATCTGAACGATTTTTCCAATGCCGAACGACTTCAAATGGCAATACCAAATGCATTTGTTGTCAAAGCATTCAATTCTATCTCATCATTTGCCATGCAGAGTACAACATCAGGTGAACCACGCAATGTTTTTGTTGCTAGTGATCATTCAATATCCAAAAATAAGGTAATAGCCCTAGCACATGAAATGAGTTTCAATTCATCCAATGCTGGTTCGATTCGAGCAGCACGTCGTCTAGAAAGTGATACTATATCTCTATTTCCCCAATGGCAAGTCCCTGTTGTTGTCACATTTATCATTGTTTCTATCTGGCTTGTTTACACACTCTGCATGACATATATCAATAGACGTACAACATCATGGAATCAACTCTTTTTACACATGGCTAATGAAACATTATGTCCATGTGCCATCACCATGTTAGCGATTGTTTACATGCCCTCGAATCTTGCATGTATATTTCAATTGATCTATGGAACTCGGGACCGACGATTTCCGAGATGGCTGGATCGATGGCTATTGAGCAGAAAACAACTCGGTATATTGGCATTTGTTATAGCTCTTTCTCATTCGTTGATGACACTCATTCTTATAACACCCGCTTATTATTCTTCATGGTTTCATCCTGTTGAAATTATGATCTCGACTGTACATAATCAGACACGAGTCATCATAGAGAGTAGTTTCATGAGCGCAAAAGGCGAATTAGCATCCCTATTAGGTATTTTAACTCAACTCTGCATGTCCATTCTGGTTGTAACAAGTATTCCTGCGATTGGTAATCTATTGAATTGGCAAGAGTGGCGCTTTGTACAATCAAAACTCGGTACCGTGACATTATTGCTTTCTATTGGACACGTAGTTGCGATGGCTATGCCATACTGGATAAGAGTAGGAGTGGTTAAATCTCTCTACAGTCTTGGTTTACTGTGCATATACCTGCCAGCTGTAATTATCTTGCTGAAATTCATGTTCTGCTTACCCTGCTTCAGTCGTCGACTCTGTCGAATTCGTCGTGGGCAAGAAACCAAAGATGCTGACCGATCAAATCAAAATACATACATATAAATCGATCCTTCCTCTCAGAAAAATCTCTTTGCTTATAATATACGAAAATAAATAAGAATTCATTCCAAGATGACACACTAGGTTAAATATCAATATGTACTAAGTCGTTTCTAGTAGTTTACTATGAGACATAGAGATGCGATCAGACAACAGGCTATCAGATGGGAGTCACTTTTTCTTAGTCCCAATTCAAATTTCTTTTACAAAACGATGTGAGAATGTGGGTATGAGCTAAGACAAGAACTCTGCATTCGCCCACATACACATCTAACATCCTGCTTGTGAGATTCGCACGCTATTTTTAGTGTTTTATCCGTATTATTGTGAAATCTATCAATGATGTTCTTCTTTGACATGCGTAGGATCTTGTTCAAGTTGAGTTCAGATATCTTTGTTTCAAACCAACTATTTTCGTGTGGAAACCTTCAAAATCTTACTGTATGCGTCACAGAATACTCTCGGCGTAGCCACACGTTATGGAATCTCATTTATTCACATTGTAACAGCTGTAACTTCTCAATAATACAAGCAAACTTTCTGACATTTTTGTCACCGATAGAGATTGTTGAGATCTATTACCAGTGAAAATTTCATTTAATCGATTTTGGTCTAGCCATAGCTGAATTATTCAACAAATATTGACCGTTACGGAATTTCAAAAAATGGAAATTTTTTTAGAGTGATCTGAGAATGGAGCATTTTACTATGCAACGAAGTGACATACAAATAAACGGTGTATATAAAAACTCATCAGTTTTCCATAAGCTTTCAGAATATCGATTCATCGCTTAGAAAGCATAACTGCACCAAGTAAAAGACTGTAAATGCTGTCCGTTACAGAATTTCAACTTGTTTTGACGTTCTAATAGGGATGGTTTGATACCTTAAAGTTTCCAATTATCACGATGAAAACCTGTCTTTTTTCATATCCATGAGTAGTACAGATACAGTTCTATCGTTCAAGTATGTTAGTTTCACTCTCACAATGGAATGATATTAAAACTTCCGTCTATTTTTCGGACAAAAAATCAAATATAACAGGATTCAAGACTACTGTTTTTGATGAAATTTGTCAAAAAATCTCTTTTTAGACGGTTGTCGGAGAAAAAATACGGTTTATATTACTAACCAACAAAGTATTATTTCAGACCTTGCAACATGTTTCATAGTCTGTCGGTAGTAAACTTTTGATTTTGGAGAGAGTTTTCTTTATTTTTGTGAGTTTAAACCTTCCTCATATGAGGGTGACCGATGCGTGGCCACGTCACCCTACAGTTAATTTTCTCTCTTATTTAATCATATTGACACTTTAGATTTGTGTTGGAAGTAGCAGCAAAAAAAATCGTCACTTAATTTTGTATTGCTTAACAATCTTTCAATAGCCAGAAACTACTAAAACATATTTCAAATTAAAATCATGTTCAATGAAATTTATTTTGTAATTTTTAAAAAGATAAAATATGTTAAATGAATTGAATCATTAATAGAATGTTCATCTTTCTAGCATATAATTGAGATCATTGGACTGATTCATGAGACCGTTTTTTCTTTGATAATAGTATCAATTATTTTGAAAATTTGAAGATTTCTCGGATCAGTTGTCAATGTGCTGAAATCCAGTTGATTGAATACATATGCGAAAGCTAACTGTCGTGAAGATGATGCAAAAGCAAGACTACCACCCATGCCTAATAACAAAAAGAAAGGTATTGCACTATTTTTTGAATTAAGTAAAGAAAAAATGCATCGCACATCTTTTGAAAAGTTTCAAAATTGAATACAAGATAATTATTAAACAATGCATCTCTCAAGACCTCACCTTTATGACCGAATCCATCTTCACCCAGCACGTTGAAAAAATCGCCATATAATTCAAATCCTCCCCGTGAAAATTTAGTCATCAAACCAAAAAGAGCTTGATCGTGCTCATCTGGTGGTGTCACATTTTCAGTAGCCAATTGTAATGTTTTCTTGCTTAGAAGACATGCTGCCGTGTTACCATTTTCATTAACATCACCAATGAGTAACGCGTAAATTCGTGCAAGTGAATGAGCATTTGAAATACCGTTAGCAGCTGGCATGACAGCTTGATGTACTCGTGGTTGATTGAAAACAAATTCACCACTATTGGATGCCATCAAAGGAAAAGCACCGCTGCATGTCATGGACTTTTCGGTGAGAAGATTCATTTGAGGCAAATTAGTAAGGCTTGTGCCTTCCTTGAAGAGAAAAAAGAAACAAGTAGGATCAGAGCTCATGGCAAATATCAAATTATTTTCAAATTTTACTAAATCTTTGATTTTTGACTAAAGTAACCTATGACAAATATGAAAAAAGCAAAAATTAGCGATCAAAAAAGATAAATATTATTCGGCTGACACTGATAGATTTGGGATCAAAAGCTACTGAACAAGAGACTCGTATAAGAGTATCCTTAATCTCAATATTACAATTATGTTCATTGCGAATTACAGATAAAAGTTACGATGTATGTCGCAAGATGTATGAAAAGAGTAGACGTGATAGAAAATGTTGCACTTGTCTCATTGGAGATCTCTGAACTTTGAGAGATCAAATAAATTTTTAGATCGATTTGAAAAGCGACTCACACAAAACTTATAATTTACTTCAAATTCTCATTGCACTTAGTCTTGTTTGATTAGTTTTTTTCCCATAAAACAATGCTTAGGAAAGTGTATTTTCTATATTTAAAAATTACAAGCCATAAGAGTTCTTTGATAATTGCTACACAGCTATTATAGTTACTTCAATATCTTGCTATCGGACAGATATGCATTAGAAATTTTACAATACTTTATAGAGTAGCTTTTAAAATGCTATTACTTTAAAGAGAAGAGGAGCGATGCGGGATTCGACTTTGTCATCAGACACGCCCACATAAAATTCGGGATCCAATTCCTCACGAACAAACTGACTATAGGAGCGGTGATGTGGATCAACTCGCTGAATGAGTTCGCCAGCCAGAAACCCGCTTGTGAAAGCATGATAACCATGTGTTGATCCAGGTTTCCAATAAGGCTTCTGTTCGGCCAACAAAGAAGTTATTCGACTCCAATCGAATACATCATCGAGTGTGAGTTGTTGATCAACACCTGGTAGACCAGCTCGATGAGATAATAGATCGCCCACCAATATGTTCTACGACAAAATATATGTAAATAGAAAATTTATATGAAAATATGAATTATAAAATAAATTCTTTTTAGTTCATATCAGAATGTTAGAAGTTGTTCGCTACCATCTGAAGCATAATTTTCTTTCTGTTTTTCGACAATCATCGATAGATAAACATGAACTCAATGGCTCGTATTTTTCATTTGACTGCTTTTTGCTTATCTCCTTGTATTTCTATTTGGTGGATTAGAATCGTTCCTATCACGGCGTTTGTCGCTTTTTCTGTATGATTTTCGTCTCTTTGATCGAAGAAGTATGGCTAGAGAAGCACAGAGCCTAGCATGAAGGGATCATTATTGACATACTTCCTTTCCATTGATACCGAACTCTGGCCAGTACTTGGCTACAGGTGCTTGATAATCGAGCCAATCTTTCTCTACACACAACGCCACGGCTGCTGCTGCAACACCTTTTGAAGTTGAAAATATAAGCTGAAGAGTATCTGGTGTGTATGGTTCTTTCTTTGTCTTTGCATCTTTCCAACCACCGGTCAAGTTCACAACGCATTCTCCAAGATGATAAATACATAGGCTTGCCCCAATATCGTGCCCATCGGTTAAATTTTGTTCGAATTTTGTACATACACTTTCCCACCCAGGTGCTACATGGCCAAACACATTATTGTCGCTTGATGAAAAAAACATTATTGAGTCGATCTTTGCGCGTTACAACACGTCTTCGTTTTGTTTTGCCTACATGTCGAGAACAAACACAAAGATTTTGTCTTTTCTCTCGCTGATAAGACAAAAGATGTGAATGTAAGCCTTGACTTTTTTGTTCTATAATTGAATACCTTACACGAGAGATTATGAAACATATGCTAAAACTTTGTAAAGTGGCTGTTTTTTTTTCTTAACAAATATACAGTTTGACCTACTCGTAAGAGAAAAAAATTGAGTAATTTTTGAAATATTTCAATTTTTTCTCGAATGAAAATAATTTCGATCGAATGCTTTATTATTTATCACGATTAATAACATTGAATACATTGTTTTGATTATAAACCGTAGTTAGCTCATTAGATTCAGCCATGAATGATGAATTTCAGGATTCGAATGTTAATATAATTGAGATTAAAGAAGAGAAAAAAACGTTCAGTAACAGCTTTCACATAAAATGATGATAGAAGAAAATATTCAAAAAAACGATGATATGTGCATTTAAACATGAAAAAAATTCTGATATACAACTTTTCAATTTGGCAACCCTGGTGTAGGTGTTCGGTGTGAATGCAAAGAAAACACATCCGCATTCACATCTACACATAACTGCACCCTAGTTGTCTGAGTGTGACTTAGGACGTATCTTCTATTCTACTCACACCCACACCCAATCCCAAATGACACTTGGTCGCTGCACTTCTGTACATATAGTGTCTTGAAATCGCACTATGTTACTGGGGTGTGGATCTGGGTATGGTGTTTGTTTTCTGATGATTCCAGCTTACATATAAACCCTCAAATACTGTTCATTTGATATTTATATCTGACAAGTTTCAATTATTGAATGATATTCAGGGATAAGATTTCTCTTAGTTCAATTGACAACAATAGGTGAATCTGTTTCTCTGAGAGTCACTAGTCCATTTTAAGCGCGTGAGTGTTTAGATATATGCCTTAGGTTCATGCTCACATACTTATTTTCTAGAATCGTTTAATAGAATTTACTATTGTTAATTAAAAACAGGACATGTAAACTCGACTTTGATAAGGCCGTTTACCTTCATGTTGTAGATGTTATTTTAAAAACATTCTAAACTAACAATTTTATTTCTTGATTAGTCTTTTTTCTAAGATTATTAAGCATTATATTGGAACTCACATATATTTTCGAAGAAAATACAGCAAGTGGAAATTTAAATCGAAGTTTTTGCCGCTTCTCTGTCTAGACTTTACAAACTACGAGGAAAACCAAAGATTATTGGATATATTTTTCTAGCAACGGAAAAGAGTGCGCCAGTAATAACAGTGCTTAGATCATTCTGAAACATTTTAGAATCTTCTGAAACATCCTATAAATCTAAAGTTTATACTATACATTCTAACCTATGTAATTATTGCAGGTTTTGCTATTTAATTTGGTGAACGGATCTTATTGTAGGTATTCGTCAGTAGGATGATAGTATTATTGATTTAGCAGAGTCAGAATAGAATGAAAATTGGAAAAGTATGAACTAATTGAATTCTAAGTCGAGATGAAATTCAACAGTATATCTCAAAGCTCGTCGAGAGAAATGATGTTGTACTCGAAAGCATACTGAACGATTAAATCAATGTGTATGGCAGTCTAATATAATAGTTGAACCATGATGGGGAGACGAGTTCCAAAATAGCATGTTTCTGTCAGTTTTTATGCTATATCAATCCAAAAAACAAGTTTTCTTTGTCCTTAATTATTGCGTATTCTTACTTTACCATTCTCATTAGTCGAGATGACTTGTTTTTCCTCTCCGCAGTTAATCCATGTTTCGTCACTAAACTGAATACAATACTTTGGTAGGTGTGGGTGTGGGTTGATAGATGACTGATTCGAACATCCACCCCAGTGGCGGATCCACTTAAGTAGGAAATTTTCAATATGAGACGATTTTCTGAAATAGGAGCGATTATACTCATAAAACGCCTTTTGAATCGCTATAGGGGGTGTTTCATCTCATTTTTAAGCGGTCTCTACGAGAAAAAAATCTTTACTTTGCCTTT